AAGATCTTGCTTATAGGGCCTCTGGGTACAACTTTGCACAATGTTCAGTAAAAGTATTTATGCTGACATAAATGGGGTTTATGCCAGTATACATTACTAACAGAATCAGCCCTGGTGGTGCAGTGGTTAAATGCCTGTACTGCAGCCACTCACTCATAGAACACAAGGTTGCGAGTTCAATACCAGCCAGGGCTGAGGCTCGACTCAGGCCTGTATCCTTCCGAGGTCGCTAAAATGAGTACCCAGATTGTTGGGGGCAATCAGCTCACAGTTGTAAACCACTTAGACATCCCATAGCGTGATATGAAGCGGTATATAAATAAGCTGCTTTGCTTTGCTTTTGCCAGTTTCTTTGTATATATTGCATATTTATGTTGGGGGGTTGTTTTATTTTTGTTTTGTGGGCCACCCAGAGAATTTGTGTTATGGAAAGGCTCCATACATTCAGAAAGTGGAGACACAGATACCTACGGTAGAGTTTCTGGAAAAATATTGCATATGGAAATCTGAAGTATAATTGCTTAACTGGACACATTAGGAACTAAAACTACTTCAGACTGGAAAGCACAAGCTCTTCTTCTGAAATACAGTGACCCCTTTGATTATAGGACCAACTAAATTGCCCTTGAAGTTAATGGTAACATGTTCTATAATTTCAAGGATGCACACTGAAGATTCTTTCTTTGAGCTGAGCCTATTGAAGATGTCATTTTTCTCACAACCATAGGAAGGGGGAAATATATTTTATTTACGTAATGGAAAAAGCGCTTGACCTATAATTTTTTCTTCTCTTCCCTCATTATTTTTGCTAATTAATGATGCTGCTAATATTTGCATGCAAGCTCTCTTCCCACTTTTTCTCTAACCTCATTCCACCACCACCCTACCGCTGCTCCACTTGATTTTTACAGGAAAAGTCATAATCCTGTGTTTATTTCAGCACACTATCTTGGCAAAGAAATTATTGTAACATCACAGATTCAGTTCTAGGCATTTGCAAGCACATCAGGAGGATGAGAGAGTGCCAACATCAGTTGCTACAGAGCTCTGTAGCCTTTCTCTCCTTTCCTCAAATTAATGTCATGCAAAACTAAAGGAGTGTTGTTTAAAACTGGATTTTATTCAAGCAGGCAAGCAACACATTTAGTCAACAATGGATGCCAAAGTGCTCAAAGTTGACTGTGGATGGACCAATTCTAAGGCCTGGTCCCCACACACAGCAGAAGGGAGTGCATGTGTGTGGAGGCATCAGAACAGATTGAAAGTAGAATCTTAGATCAACATACCTGGATATGGTTCTTAAAGCTGCATAGAAATATATAGAATTTTTCTGTAAGTGACTGCACACTGCAGTGAGGGCACTCTATTATTCAAATGCATTGTCACATGCAAAAAATGTTGGGAATTAGAGCAGAGCAATGAAAGGGCTCTTCTAGGACTTTGCTTCCTAGACTCGGATGAGGAGTGTACACCTTGTTGGAATGTTTTAAATGTAGGATGAGAGATCAGCAGCAATAGGACTAAGTCTGAAACTCAAGAGTTTGAAACTCTAAAAACTAGAATTTGAAAAAGCTGATCCCAGTCACTGTAGCCAAAACTGAGCTAGATGGGAAAAAGTCATTTCTTGTTTTGTGCCTTCAAGTCATTTTTTACCTGTGACAACTCTAAGACAAACACGGTTTTGTTGCCAATATTTCTTCAGAGGGGGCTTGCCTTTGTTTCCCTCTTAGGCTGATAGAATGTGACTTGCCCCAAGTTCACCCAGTGGGTTTCCATGGCCAAGTAGGAATTTGAACCCTGGACACCAAAGTTGCACTCCAACAGTCCAACACTCAAAGCACAACAGGCTATTAAAGAGGAAAGCACTCCATGAAATAACTTAGGTTTCCACTGGGGATTTGAACCCTGGCCTCCAGAGTCATAGTCGAGTACATAAACAACTACACCATGCTGGCTCTTGGAAAACAGCCATACTTGACATAAAGCACCTTTCTTAATTCGTGCTATTGACAGAAACCAACATATTAGCAAAATTACCTTGCATTCTTCACTTGATCACCCAAGGCAGAAAGACCAGCTGTTGCTCCTGCTTTCACTCACCCGGAAATCTTGCCTCCTTCAGTTGTTTCACTGATATATAAATACCTTAATCATAATCTCATACCCTTTGTTTCAAGGAGGAGTCCTGCTGCACAAGTATCCTGGCCTGTAGTTACTGTTATCATTGTTATTTCTCTACTAGCCATGGTGTCTTGGATTGCTACATACCAGTGACATAGCAATGCCTTCCAGATTAGTAGGTATCAGGTTTTAGTCTAACGGATTCACTACCTGGCTGACATGGAAGCCACTTTTATGTATTCAATTTTAAATTTCAGCACCAAGTTGACTGTACAATGTCATGTTGCCCTAAAAGGTGGGAGGATGTGTGAAATTTAAGGGAAATTATAGATGAAAAAGAGGACTGCAAGTGGAGGATAACTTTGGGGATCTTTTTACTTGTGTATACCAGTACTAAGTGCAGAGAGCACTCCAGTTTCAGTAAATAGACGGGTTTTATTTAGAAATGTGCAAAGGTGCACACAAACATGCAAACTAATGAAACCTTAGGAACCATACAAGGCTATCAGAAACAAAGGTGGAGAAGGCTGAATACAGGGAAATCAGGAGTTTAAAAGATTGATAATTACCAATCCTGAAAATAGGTCTACAGAAAACAGAGAATGGCTCAGACATAGAGAGAGTGAGCAAGACCCTCTGTGCACAAGGGTCTGTAAGCCACACCTCTAACTTTTAGTATGGTGGCTGTGACTGGGATGGAAATTTATATCCTATTACATACCCACAAGGGGTGCTTGCTGCTCCCAAATTATCTAACAAAGCCTTTGATGGTTTTCTCATGGAATTGACAAAAAGGGATCTGGAACAACTAATGGCTTTAACTCTGGAGTGAGAAAACATTAATTGGATTTGAGATGGTCCCTGGATAGTTGGACTTTAAGGGTGAATATGAATACAGCCTGAAGTGAAGTGGAGGGTGTGATCTTTGACTGCTTTTGTGATGGGACTCATTTTGTCTCCATTGTGTGAGGAAATACAAAGAGCTTGGGAGAGGGGATATGGAGTTGATCAGAAAACTCATTTAACACTTATTGTAGTACTTACCAGGGTCTCCCACATGTCCTTAGGTCAGCATGATTCCTTACAAGTGTAATTTCCTAGTCTCCACAGGTCACTGTGACCTCTGAAAACATGCCTAATGTTAGATATTAATGATAAAACCCCATATCCAGCTAGAGAGGTGTAGGGTATGGTAACAACACCTTCATACTTAAAGATACAAGAACAGCCCATTCCTAGATTGACCATGGATATAGGGTGCATTGGGGTTCCTATATACAATTTTTAGGTTTTAAGATGGTGTGCCCCTTCCCTACCAGTGTTAAAAAGCCTATAATGCTATTGGAATGAACCAGTCAGTGTTAAACTGAGTTACTTGAAGGAACGCTTCTCCCTCCATAATCTGCCCCGCACTCTCAGAACATCTGGGAAGAATTTGCTAGACCACCATAAAACCAGACTTAATATAACTTCCCAAAGATCATTCACGGCTGCATCCCCTAAGCTGTGGAACAGCCTGCTGGAGGAGCTCCGTCTTACTATCAATTTAGACACCTTTAAGAAAGCACTCAAGACGGAGCTTTTCTAGCAGGCCTACCCACATGATTTCCTTAATGGACCTTCAAGTTAATAGTATATCTCAATTTGATTACTTGGCTTTTGGGTGAGGATGATGATCGGGTTATTTTATCTGAACTTTATAACTTTGATATTTTATTGTTGGTATTATGTATTTTTTGTACTTCTGTATTTTGTATATTGTGGTTATTTTTAATGATGTAATCCCGCCTCAATCCACAGGGAGAGGCAGGAAATATAAATTATTATTATTATTATTATTAGAGTCTTCCAGTCCCGTGGAAGACAGATGATGGGTGATATATAATGTAAACGATCAAGAAGTGGATTCATTTAGGCAAAGCAGAAAGAAAAAGAGGCAAGTAGAGGTGTCTTCACTAGCTCTGGTTAACATACCCCATGGCCCTACTCTGCTTGATAATAAATGTCATTTCTCATGTCAGATCTTGCCTGGGCAGATTATCCCTGAAGACTTGGGTCTGTCTCTGAAACTAACATTAGCAGCTGCATGCTTTAGGTTAACCCTTCACCTGCCTCACAGCTGCTTTTGCTTTGCCCTGAGCCAAACCTTTTAAAGGAGGGTTGACTGACTTCAGAGTACATCAAGCAAGAGAGCTGCAGGACAGATAGCATACAATGGAGAACATCTGTGCATGAGTTTGTCCTTCTATAGGACATTTGCTGGGGTGTTTCCAGAGCAAGTTATATGGCTTTTTTTCCCCTGGTCTGAAAGTACAATATTACAGTGAGGCTCTGCATCAAACAGGATATGATCCAGTGCACTTTAAGCACTTGTTATATCCTGCTGTTTTCAGTCAGGGAAAAAGGTTAAATGAGTGCTTGAAAGGTGTTTAATACTGGCTGGTTCATTCCAATAGCATTCAAACTACAGTATGAATTTTCTTTTAAACTACAGCTTCCAGAATCCGCCAGCCAGTATGGCTGGAGTTACATCAGCATAAGTCACCAGCAGGATTCTGGTTTATATTTGCTATTAGATTTCTGAATAGTTTGAAGCACATTGGCAAATATTTCTGACTCCCAACTGTTAATAACATGAAAAATAAAATGAAAAAAAAAAACCAACAACCCATAATCCCTGGTCATTCATTTTAGAAAACATAAGATAACAAGGTGTCGATTTTTAGTGAAGAACTGTGAACTTTGGCATTCAAATTCCTGTGCTCATACTTCTTTAATTCTTTTGTACCAGCATTTGTTTGTTAGGTCTTTGGCTTCTGATAAAAAACACAGTTGTTCTCATGATTATTTTGTAACTCTGTTCCACCAAACACTAGTGTGGTATAGTGTGGCACAGTGGTCTGAATGCTGGACTAGGACCACATAGTACCAGGGTTCAAATCCCTGCTGTGCCATGGAAACTCATTGAGTTGCCATGGATAAGTCACACTCTTTGACTTACAAGAAGGCAGGGGCCAGCCTTATCTGCAAAAACCTTGCTGCAGAAACCTCTTGATAAGATGACCATAAACCAGAACCTACTTGAAGGCACACACCAACAACAACAGAGGCACTGTCTTAGGATTTTTATGTGTACAACATTTAGTACATTTTAGGTGCTTTCTACATGATCGATTGATAGCAGTGGCACTAATATTGTTTATATAGCACTAAACTGTAAATGCTGTATAGAGAGCAATTTAAGCAACTGTCCATTTAACTAAACATGACAGGTCCCTAATCCAATGAAGTTCTCTTTCACCTGTGGTGAAAAGTAACATGAATGAAAGAATGGGGAAGAGAGAAGGAAAGAGTATGGAAGCTAGTAGTGAGAGACCCAAAGTTGAATTGTTCACTCACCTATGGAGTTTACTGAGAGGTCCTGGACAAGTAATTTTTTTTTTTATACTGCTGCGATGTACAAAAATTAATAATATCTGATTTGGACTTGCTCTAGTCACAGCAACATAAATGAATTGAAACTGCTTGTAAGACCTGTCTGACTCCAAAGGAGGCTTCTATGGTCTACTGGTCTGAAGTCATGACGACCTGAATTATTTTCTAAATTAATCTCTGATACCACTGTGGAATTATAAGAGGTGAAAGCAAGTTCACAGTTCTGGTCACCTTTGTTTCCAGTGGCCATTGATACCGCAAGCTATGCTGCACCTGCTGTGAAAATAAATAGGGTCAATATGGTATTATGTACTTTTTGTGTTATGTACCTATTTCCCCCACTAGATGTGTGTGTATGTGTCTGGTCTGTGTCTGTGTCTGTATCTGTGTAAGAACACTTTCCAGGCTATTGATGTATCAGTATCATTCATGCATCAGCAGCACAGCTGCTCCTGCTGCACCACAAATACACCCTATATAATGGGTCAGTTTGGATTTTATTTTTGTTGTTGTTGTTGTTTTAAATTTTATTTTTAATTCTCAGTAAATGAACTGACACAGGGTTGCTTACATAAGTCTAGGAGCTTTTGAGTTATGCAAAGCTGGTACAAAATATATTAAGGGTTGGGGGAAGAAACAGAAAAATCCAAAAATCAGGGTGAATGGTGGGCCTAGTAGGTTTGCACTAAACTACATCCCAAGATGGAAATTGCCTGGATGAATCAGTGTTAGGTATGACAATGCCAGGTTACATACATCTCTTTTCACTGAGATTTGGCTCAATGGCCACTCTGCATCTCTGAAGACATGAAGCTGGCTAAAACTTAAGGGAGTTATCTGCTAACTTGGGCAAAGCGCACTGTCTCCTGTATTAGTAGAAGCCTGGATGAAAGGGAAATATATCTAGAAATAAAGAAATAATTGCCACCACTTCTGACAAGTGGGCCAAGATGCTTCTCTGCCAGTTTCTCACAGGCATCTGGTAAACCTAAGGACCACATTTTCACCCAAAGCCTCAGCCATGTTGGCCAATAGTCCCATGTTGGCCAATAGCTCCTGGGATTCTGGGAGCTGAAGTCCCTCGGCCCTTAAAGGGGAAAGGTTGCCTACCCCTGCCCTACAGTGTGTAGGCTGCATCAGGCCTAATAATGGCAAAAAATATATACAAACATCAAGATCAGAAGTGGCCAGATTTCCACTTCATTTTGATTTGGGATATTTCAGAGATGACTAAGATCTTTGGGAAAACCTGTTTGATGCAAAAACTGCCACTCTTGGCGGCCTTTAGGAATGGGGAGATGTCAGAGCATTCAGACTAGAATTAGGCACTTCCATATATGAACTTCACCAATCTTTCTCAAAAGGCCAGTTTAGGTTAAGGAGGTGGTACAGGAGGAGGAGATTCCCCAAACCCACAGCTGAATACTTCGGAAGAGTGCAGGTGAAGTCATTGCTTGAGGAGATAATATTGTGGCTATACTGCATTAAAAACCTTCACCATGAAAGCTAATCTCATCTATGCAAGAAAAAGGGGGAAAGAATCTAAAGGAACTTGGGAGCTGAATCTAAAGGAACTTGGGAGCTGATTCACTAACAGCAGTTAAAATCGAAACTGAAATATTTCAGATGTTATTCAAATTGCAAATTGATGAGACTGGGCATAAGTGTCAGGAAACAGGTGGCATGGTCAGATCAGCTGTGGAACTTGGGTCTTCTCTGCAGGCAGGCATTTGCAGGTTACAAAAGGCAAAAGAAAATAAAAACTGAAAGTGGAAGCATAGGCAAATGGATCATGGTGAAATAATCTACTGTTAATGATGTTTTCTAGAAAAAAAGTTGAAGGAATTGATCCTAAACCCTTTTATATCCTGATGGCTCTAACAAATCTTGAAGATGGCAATGTGTCAACAGTGAAATACATGTGCACAATTGGCCCTCCAAAAACCATCAGGACCCGGCTACAACAGAAATATCTAACTAGAAATATATGACTGGCTACTTAAAAGAATATATAGCTTAATGTAAACAGAATGTTCTAGTGTTATTTCACAATGTATCCTGGGGGGAAATGGCAGCTGGAGGCCACTATGCATACCTGCTAAACCTTAGATGAGAAACATTTTACTGTCATAGAATTTACAAACTATGTAAACATTCAGACCTTGGGAAATCTTTGAATTTGCTTGACTGGTTTTTTTAAAAGTGGCCCAGCTGGCCAGCCTCAAAACCCTTTTGAATCAAGCCAACAGTCCATCTAAACCAGGGTTAAAGAAGCTGTTACTGGGTTATAAATCTCATCATCCCTGACCACTAGCCATACTGTCCTGGGTTGGTAATGTGGTTACCCTGTCCTAATTTAAACCACCAGCAGTGGCCAGCTAGATGTTTGTGTAATGTCCATAGGAAGACACAAAAAGAAACAGCTCTCTTCAATGTTTTCCTCTGCTTCAGGTAAGTGGTTTTCAAAGGGATACATTCTCTAAATCAGGGGTAGGCAACCTTGTTGAGCCGGGGGCCAGGTTGCTGTCCCTCAGACAATTGGGGGGGCCGAAGCACCAAAAATAAATAAATAAGTAAATATTTTAAAAATTAAACAATTTTTAAAAATTAAAAAAAATTAAAAATATGCATGCACACTCTCTCAGCCCCAGAAAAGCAATGACAAAACCCCTGTAGAGATTTTGCCAAGAAAACCCCAAGAACAAGTAATAACAACAATAATCAATATCATCATGGCAGGCGGTGGCGGCAGGACCGGCCTGGGGCCGGTCCTAAGGCCTCAGAGGGCCGCATCCGGCCTCCAGGCCTTAGGTTGCCTACCCCTGCTCTAAATATTAGAGCCAGCCCTTTCATTAGGCAGAGTGAGGAAGTGAGCTCAGATAGCAAAAGCTGGGGGGGAGGCAGCAGATGTTTTTCCTCAGCTCTCTAATCATTTCCTTTTCTTGGACAGAACTATGTGTGGCCCATAGTTTGGCTTTCCACCTCTAAACTAACCTGACATCCCCAGGTTTAGTAGAGGCCCCCAAGATTCAACTGCAAGTCCAGCTGGCTTCTGGCCGTAGAATGGAAGATATCTTGTCCTTTGATGGAGACAGCAAATGACTAGCCCTACTAAATGCAAAATTTCCATTTATTCACCATCTAATGATAGACCCAGGGTGCTTTCCCATTGCACAATTAAAACACAATTTCATACCTCTTTAATTGCCTCTTTATCAATGAAATTCTGGGATCTCATGAGGTATTTAGAATCCTTTGCAAAAGGGCTGTAGTACATCATCAAACTACAAATCCCAGGATTCTGTATGGTGCAGCCATGGCAGTTAAAGTCTTATGCAAGTGCTACAGTTATGCAGTGTGAGAGAGCATCACCAGGATCTAGAACTTCAGCAACCAAAACACATCATGACTTGCACACACCACCAGCCAAAAACCTGTCTCCCATGCCCACTCCAATATTGTTCAAGTCATTTTTAAAATAGTAAACTACCAGTTTTACCAATGCTATTATTTTGATTGTATTTTTAATACACAGATACTGTGCTTTTTTACTCACCACCATCTTTTCTCCTCTCTGCATAATTTAAAAGCTTTTGAAAAGCAGCAGTAGGGCTTCTCACTTTTTTCCCCCAACTCTTAACTTCTTATTCTGCATTCTCTTTGAACTAAAGTGAAATTTTCATTTTTCCATTTTTTTTTATTCTCAAGTGTCGTAAGAATCTTCCTCAGACAAATACATCAGACATACCAGCACTTGCACATAGTGATGTTTGAAGGCAGATAGGTTTTGTTTTTAAAAGGGTGTAAGTATTCCTTGTATTTGCTTCATAAGTAGACCTGTTTTCTTCAACAGACAGTCTTTCTAAAGGTGGTGTGAAATTTTGTCCCTCTCTCCCTCTTCCTTCTCTGCCATATGGATCCAGTCATCATTAGGGTTGGTATCACCCAGTGCAGTAACTCATGGTGTCACACACACCCATTGACCTCCATCATACCACATCATACAGAATCCTTAGTAATAATTTTTGTACTGTTACACATAAATCATAATTTCCATATATCACTGAATGTAAGGGTAATAGTTGTGACATAAAACTCCTAGCAAAATAAAAATTATGCCTTTAAATTACAATATCATATGAACAATCTAAATGTACTTACATGTACATAGTTTCAAATAGTTAAAGTGAAAATTTGGTAAGATGTGATTTTTTAAGAAAATTTATTAAAAAAAAATTAAGTTTTTTTGTAGGTTCTTTGGGCTGTGTGGCCATGTTCTAGAAGAGTTTATTTCTGACATTTCGCCAGCATCTGTGGCTGGCATCTTCAGAGATGATCTTCAGAGAGATCTGAAGATGCCAGCCAAAGATGCTGGCAAAACATCAGAAAGAAACTCTTCTAGAACATGGCCACACAGCCCAAAGAACCCACACACACCAAAAAAAACCTATGGATGTTGGCCATGAAAGCCTACGACTTCACAAAATAAATTTAAGTTTTTGGAAAAAATAGGTCATCT